GAAGTTGTACAGTTGTTGGCGACGTTGTGTCCTGGATTTTTTAAAAATATAAAGATTTATATCCCGATACTGGTATTGTTTTGTCGAAAACTATCCAATGCAGATAATTCCCGTAATTGTTTTTAAAAATATGATGAAGTTGGGATTAGGAAATTAAATAATAATACTTGGAATTTTTGGGGAACAATTTAGAAGAATTTATTTGTCCCCAAAGGAGGAAAACCCAGCTAGGCTGGGAAAAAACTTCCTTGATGAAAATTATACAAGTAAGTTGTATGTGTGTAGGTGTATGTGTATAAATTACGTTGCAATAACGCAATAGGGGTGAGCTCAGCCGCCGTATAAAGAAAATTATCGATAATTTGAATTTGTACTGTCCCAAGGCGGGAGCTAGTAATTTGAATTTGTACTGTCCCAAGGCGGGAGCTGGTAATATCTAATTAATTAGATGAACTGTCTCAAGGCGAGAGCTAATAATGTTTAATTAATTAGATGAATTGTCTCAAGGTGAGAGCTACTAATGTTTAATTAGTTAAATAAATTGTCTCAAGGTGAGAGCTAATAATATTTAATTGTCTCTAGATGAGAGCTAATAATATTCAATTGATAACAGAATGTTAGTCAATTGAGTTTGATGTTTTCGTGAAGAAATTAGTCAAATGATTTGAAGTTGGAATTTAATTATTTATAAGTTAAATTAAATAAGATCGTAATTAAATGTTAATAATTAATTCAATTTAATTAATGGTTAATATTACGCGTCAATTATGGATTGACTAAAGCCGCGTGGCTGATGCAATCCTTTGTCAACGGTGGCGCGTAATGGCCGCGTGGTGTCACTAAATAAATTTACTTGATTTTATTTATGTTAATTCACTGAACTATTAAACTGATTTAAATGAATTGAGAATTTAAAGTATAATTGAATCTACTATAATTATTTATATTTAATGAATGATTTAAATATTTGAATGAATGTGAGATGCAAGTAAGAATTATCAAATTGATTAGCACAGAGTAGTCGTACTAGTACAGAAGTCCAAGCACAACTGTTGCATCAGACCACGCGAGCCGGGTTCTCTACCGCTAACCAAGGCGCGCATGAGCGACGGCCATAGCGTGATACGATTATTCCCGAGTTTATACGATTATTCCCGAGTTTTACCGATTAAGCCCGAAGGCGTAATTCTTCTTATAAGTATTTGACTAGATCTCTTTTCTAGCAGTTAAACAGGTATTAAATATTTTTAAAGGCTGATAACTGCCACCAGCTCTTGTGACCGCTTCTCCAGGAACTATTGAAGTTGTCGACCACAGATTTCCCTATAATTTTTATAAAAAACCAAGATTTATGTTTAGATCTTTTTTCATAATCTTATCCAATTATTTTCTAATTCCTGAATGTTTTTTTTTTCTAAATTTTTATCATTCATTTGTTTATTTAATTATAAACAAATAGTTGTGATATTTTTTATTGGTTATGATAATTTGTTATCCATAAGTCGATGGTGATGGATCGTAAGTCTAAATTTATTGGTGACAGAATGAGGATTTGATGCGTTCGGATTAAGCGCACCACCACCCCGGGGCGCTTTCGCTATTTAATTTTCGTCGCGAATTAAAATGAGATAGCGATAGCGCTCCAGAGCGCTGGTGCCGGTTAATCCAAACACAACATAATGAAAAAAACGTATGAATATTTGAAAATTATAGAACAATATGTCCCAAAAGATTTCACCGCTTCCTGGAGCAGCAGTCACAAGAACTGATGGCAGTTATCGGCCCCCGAAAGTATTTAATACCAGTATCGGGAAACAACTTTATATTTTTAAAATCCAGGACACAACGTCGCAAATAACTGCATAACTTCCTGGAGCAGCGGTCGCAGGAGCTGGTGGCAGTTATCGGCCCTCGAAAATAGCTTTTACCAAAATTAAAAAAAAAATCTTGGTGTTTTTTAAAAATTCAGAACTAAACGTCGCAAATAACTGCACAACTTCCTGGAGCAGCGGTTGCAGGAGCTGGTGGCAGTTATCGGCCCTCGAAAATATTTAATACCAGTATCGGGAAACAACTTTATATTTTTAAAAAATCCAAGACACAACGTCGCAAATAACTGCACAACTTCCTGAAGCAGCGGTCACAGGAGCTGGTGGCAGTTATCGGCCCCCGAAAGTATTTAATACCAGTATCGGGAAACAACTTTATATTTTTAAAAAATCCAAGACACAACGTCGCAAATAACTGCACAACTTCCTGCACATCTTCCTGGCATAGCGACGTAGCAACATCATTCAAGGTAATGCATAGTGCAATATGGATGTCATTATTGAGATGATAATCCCCCGCCCTATATGTGAAGCGGATTACTAAGTGCATACTTACCGAAAGCTACTTTAAAGAAACACGTGGATGAATCAACTTAACATCACTTGTTAGATGATAACCGACCTATGGAACTCCCGGAAAGCCAATGACTGGCATTTACCGCATAGTATCGGGAGATAAATCTTTATATTTTTAAAAAATCCAGGACACAACGTCGCAAATAACTGCACAACTTCCTGGAGCAGCGGTTGCAGGAGCTGGTGGCAGTTATCGGCCCTCGAAAATAGTTTTTACCAAGATTAAAAAAAAAATCTTGGTGTTTTTCAAAAATTCAGGACTAAACGTCGCAAATAACTGCACAACTTCCTGGAACAGCGGTCACAGGAGCTGGTGGCAGTTATCGGCCCTCGAAAATAGCTTTTACCAAAATTAAAAAAAAAATCTTGGTGTTTTTTAAAAATTAACGACTTAACGTAGCAAATAACTGCACAACCTCCTGGAGCAGCAGTCACAGGAGCTGGTGATTGTAGGGATATCTGTCGCCAACAACGTGACAACTTCCCGGAGCAGCGGTCACAGCGGTCACAGATTTCCAAAATTTGATGTTTCCATTTTCTGTAAAATTTCCGACCGTAAAGAATCAATGAAACGCATTGTACAACGTGCTACACTTTTTGTCAACTCAAGGATTAGCAATGACCATAATTTTGTGGTTAGTATTCACTGTACATATGTCATTGTGGCTAATTCTTTCTTTGCTATTGTCATTTTTTTCAGATGTCTCTATATGCTCATTTAAATTTTTTCCTGCTAATTTTGAATTTTTTGATAACCTTTGATTTTATATTTATTTTTTGAAATTTATTATCAAATTGTGATATGCTTTGTTGATATTATCTGTATCTTTTCTTTTATTAACTGCTCTATTATCATTTTCGATATAAAGTGACTAGTATTAATCTTTTTTTATAGTTTTGCTCAGTGTGAAGTACTTTGACATTGTTGAAATCAAAATTATGGTTTTTGTCAATCCTATGAGTCGTTAACATATTGTGTTTAGATGGGCTTAATTTTATGTTATTTTTATGTTCTTTAGTTTTTGTTTCTATCCATCTTTTTGTTTGACTAATATAACTACCCTCGCAATCCTGACAATTGATCTCATATACAACATTATGTCTTTTGCCATTTTCAATTTTATCTTTCCCTGTGCAGACATTCCTAATGTTTTTATTATATGATCTGAATGTGACTGGTATATTATATTTCTTAAATATTTTTCTAACTGGTTGAGCTAGTTGTTTGTCGTATGAAAAGCTTATTGTTTTGCTGTAATCTAATGCTGCTCTATTATTGTAATTAGTGCTATTAATGTTTTTATTTTTCTCTGTTAAAAATTTCCATCTTAAATTTAAATAATGTTCTACGTATTCTTTTGGATAACTATTGTTAATTAATGTGCTAATAATAAGGTTTTTATTTTCATTGTTAAATCTGTGGTCTGCCAAATAAAAAGCTTTGTCAGTTAAATGGTAAATTACTTCTATTTTTTTGTTGTTCTGGGTGATGTGAGTTGTAATTCATGTATCTACCAGACCATGTTTTTTTCCTGTACCAGTTAATACTTAATCTATTGTTTTTTCTTATTATGATAGTGTCTAAGAAGCTAATGCTATTGTTATCATTTTCAAATTCTATTGTAAATTCAATTTTCGGGTGGTATCTGTTGAAAGTTTCTAATAAATCACCAATGATATCTTTATCTAAACAAAAAATTGAATCATCTTCATATTTTTTGAAAAAAAGTATGTCCTTCTGGTAGTTTTTCAACCCAATATAGAATAATCTGTCCATAAGGATGTCTGCAATTATTGGGGAGAGTGGTGAGCCCATAGGTACTCCAAATACCTGTTTATATATCTCATTGTTAAAAGTGAAGTAAGTGTTATCTAGACAAATTCTAATTCCTGCAATGAGTTCGAATTTTGACATTGTAAAATTTCCTTTAATTTCTTCCCAATATGATTCTATTATTTGTAGTACTTATTCTATTGGAACATTCGTAAAGAGTGATGTGACATCTAGTGAGATTAATCTGTAATTTTCGGGCACTTTTCTATTATCTTTTATGAATTTACTAAATTCGAAACTATTTTTTGTTTTATATTTAAATTTATCTTTAAGACATTCTAATTTTGTTGCTAACCATCTACTTAAATTATATATGGGACTATTTATTGATGAGATAATTATCCTATATGGAAGATTTTCTTTGTGAATTTTCGGTAAGCCGTATGCTCTTGGTAAATTGCTACAATGTGTTATGAGGTCATCTCTCGTATCTTTATTAATATAATTTTTCTTAAGCCATCTATTTACTAGGTCATTATTTGTTTTTTGCAAAATTAGATTGTAGTTTTTTTGTTTTACTTTTTCGTAATACTTTTTATCCGACAACATCTCCAAAATTTTGCCATTGTAGACTTCTTTATCAACTATAACTGTACTATTGCCTTTATCTGCTCTTGTTATCATTATGTTGTTATTGTTTTTCAAGAAGTTACTCACTATGTTACTTTCATTCCCCAAAAGTTAATTTCTAATGTATATACATCAAATTTGTGAGAATATTACAAATTGATAGAAAATAGCAAATTTTTTATTTTATGCTACTACCAAATGAATTCAAATTTGGTTCTTTCTTTCTTAGTATTTTCTTTATTATTGAAAAGATAAGTTCTTGATTCAAAATCTGCAATAAAATTGAAAATTCGAAAGTTATTTTCGTTATATTCAAAACAAAATTTTGGTCCCAATTGCCATATTTTGCCGACATCGTCTGAAATCTGTGTATTACTTGTATTGATTAACCATTTGTTATTTATTTTTAACCTGTAAATCCCGTTATTATTATAGTTATTGTTTAAAACATTCCTACGTTTATTATACCTCAATTCTTTAATTTTGTTAATATAATGTTTTCTCAATCTGTTATCCGTGTTACTGTTATTGGAAATCTCTATATTTTTAAAAATTCTGTGTTGTCTGTGTGTTAAAACTATTCTAATTTCTGAATTTAATCTCAACATTGAAAAATCTAATTTATCTATTTTAAAGTATAATTCATCTATATCTAAGTTTACTAGCCTCTGTCGGTATCTCCAAGTGCATTCATTGAATCTTTCGATGTTCTTTTTGTACTGCTTGCTTCTTGATTTGATGAAACTAAAGTTTGAGCTCTTTGGTAGTACATTAAATTTTATGCATTTTTTTAAAAAATGCGTCTTGCAGATCGTCTTGGTTTTAATGTTGGATAGTTTTAGTAGTTTATTCATCTTTCTTGTTATTGGATGTCCATAAGTATCTTTAACCTCCTTCCAAAACATGTTTTTCGCCGAATATTTATTAAGTTTATTATGGATTTTTTTCTATTACCCTAATGACTGGTTAATTATTCATTTATATTTTTGGTTATATTGGCAATCCAGTCTAAGACTCTGTTTTTTTATTTAATATTTTATGCGATATTTCGCCTGTTTTTCTTACAGTCATCATCAGACATTTATTTAATTAATAAATAGTACAAAGTATTTAAGATATATCTAGTGTCAACTGCAAATTTTACAATTGTTTACAGTTAGTATTATAAAAATTATTTTGACCTTTTTTTTAAAAAACATTACTATTTTATATATAAAAAACTTACTTGATAAGATGATTACAGTTTAAAGTCTCAATAATAATTTTTAGGTTATTATTGTTTTCGGTTTTTTCTTTTTCTTTTTTGACATTTTAATACCAAATGTTTTTACTTAATTGACTAACTATGTATTTAAGGAGCTGAGTTTCAAAAGGGTATCTTTTGATAAATATTCGAATTTTTTTTTTAATAATCGGGTGCAAAATCCTAAACTCTATTGATATGTTTCATCAAATTTTATGAATTCAAATTTTTTCAGTATAAAAAAAATAATAAAATTCACGTTTTCGATCAAAAAATCTTTTTGTAAAATTTAATAAATAATTCAAAATTTATTATTATTATTATTCGGTCATTCCATGTCAAATCGACCAATAGTTGGATCCGACCCTTTTCGATTTGAATCAATTTTGGTCAGAAGTTTTCTTTTATCATATAACGAAGTTCTGCCATAGAAAAAAAATAAAAAAATTTTTTTCAAAAATTTTTTTTTTATTTTTATCTTAATTGAGTTCAGTAAGTCGCGTAATTTCGATATTCTGAACAGTTAAAATGTCATTTAATGGCATAACGATGAGAAAAAAATAATTTTAAGAAAAATTGTGTGTGTATGTGGATCAAAAGGTACTTTGTTTTATCACTTTAGATTAAAAGGGTACTTTTTTTTATCACTTCGGATCAAAAGGATACTTTTTTATAAATTCGGATCAAAAGGGCACTTTTTCTGAATTCAACTAATAACAACACTGAGAATTATAAAGTTTTTTTCATAAAAATTAAATTACGCCTTCATCACCATGAGCAATATGCATGAGAATAAAAAAAAATTGATAAAAAAATTTATAGTTTAAAGTAAACAGTTTTTTACTTGTATTGAAAAAAACTAAAAAATAAAAAGATACCCTTTTGAAAATCAGCTCCTCATTTGTATAAATTTTTCTTTTTTAATTTTGTTATGTAAAGAAATTTTTCGCCCTCCGGCCGGAAAGTGGCAACTTTCTGGCCGCTGCGCTAAACAAAGTTGCCACATTCCGGCTACGTCGAGCAGAAAAATAGTATACACACCTTGGCCAGTAAAAAGTAAAGCCTCAGACCACATGTTTGTCAACCTCGGCTTCGCCTCGGCCAACAATTACATGTGGTCTGAGACTTTTCTTATTTTACTGGCCTAGGTATGTAATCTACTATATTTTAAACCAAAAGATTTTAGAATAATTTAATTACAAAATTTTAGTGTTGAAACAAATATCGAAATAAATTTTAATAATGAACTTTCTGAAATAATTTTTAGGCAACAAAATTAAATATGAAATGAAAAACAAATAAAAAAAATAGAACTTGAAGGTTAAATAATTAAAAATAAACAAATTTTAAACAATTGAATTCTAAAATAATACAACAAATTTATAAAGCGATAAAACAGAAATATTTCTACAAATAAATAATTAAATTCAAGGAAACGTAAGAAATGTTAGATTCGAGTACATATTTATTCATATGATTTTAATAAATAAATTAATGTAGACAGTACAGATGTATGTCTTTGTCTATGCGTAAATGCGCTTACGTAAACGCAAACACATAGATGAATAATAGAACATAATAGTAAGTAAGAAGGCATGTTGCACTCTGACCCAAGTAGAGGGACATGCAACATTTTTAGGCAAATTTAAGAGAGAGGGTAAGGGCCCGAGAAAATAGACAAATAATTCTACAAATAATAACAAATAATCTCTCTCGTTGTCCTGACGTCCTAGTGTTAACATCGTACATAGTTTAAATAAGTCTCAATAGACCACGTGTAAATCTATTGTATAAAAAGTAAAACATTTGTAAAGGTAAAGTGAAACCAACTAAAATAAATTAAATCAACAAGGTTCATCAAATTTTTTATCAGGTATATTTGTGAATTATTAATATTTGTGAATTTGGTAATATTGTAAAATCGTTATATGAAAGAAAAGTTAACTTCAATCACTGTGTAATAATTGTAACTATTGTAAATTAACTAATGATATTAATTTTGGATTTAAACAATATATGTATTAAAATTATTCAACTACATCAATTTATTCAAACAAACTTATCATTCTCAATAAACTAAAACTCGGAAGTTCCCGGTCTATTAGCCTAACACGCTAGGACCAAATACTTAAACACATTAAATATTTTAAATGTAAAATTAATTAATTACCCTAAATTAAATATTTTTTACATAACAATTTTATTATTTTGATAATTGTTATTTTTTTTATGTTAAATTATTTATGCGTTTTAATATTTCATATACAACGTGCTATACTGAAAATGACAAAAGACATAATGTAGTATACAAGATCAATTATCAGGATTGCGAGGGTAGTTATATTAGTCAAACAAAAAGATGGATAGAAACAAGAACTAAAGAACATAAAAATAACATAAAATTAAGCCCATCTAAACACAACATGTTAACGACTCATAGATTTGACAAAAACCATAATTTTGATTTCAACAATGTCAAAGTACTTCACACTGAGCAAAACTATAAAAAAAGATTAATACTAGAGACGCCGTAGATTTATAAAATAAATACATGGACTAATTTTAGCAATTGAATTACCACTTAATTATTTTATTTTATTTATTAATTGTGGAAAATTATTTAATTATTTATTCGGAACAATTTTAATTACCGGAATTGATTTATTGAGGAAAAATCCGTCGCATTTAGAAATTTAAGACCGTGGATAATTTTTTGAGATTACATTTTTACACTGAGGTGAATTATTTATAATCTAATCGTCATTCGTAAAGTACTAGAAATTTATTATTCCACGTGTTATTAATTATCGAGAATGGATTTATCAAATTTTGACGCAAATAAGACTGATACACCCTAAATTATTATCTAATTTAATAGCCAATTTCTGCTTGGGGAGTCTTATATTTAAAATGTCCTGTAAAAATTGTCAATAATTTATTATCATTGTTATTCCGATAAAATTATTTATAGAACTAATTATTCGTGTGGATTACGTCCGTGAAAAATATAGTAAAATTTACAAAAGAGTATTCTAAGAAATTGTTAATGCGCAGAAATAAGCTCGTGTTAAAAATGGAGGGAAAAGTGGCGTCGGTTTAAGCCGGAATTTTAAGAAGTAAATTTATTAATTTATGAAAATAAATTTAGGAGTTTTTATTGTAAGCTAATGACTGGTCAATTTTAATGAATATTAACGTTGTAAATTTTCGGAATTAATTTAGTAAATCCGGAAATAAAATAGTAAAGTAGAATCAGTGTGTGTGTGAAGACGCGTGGGTTATGTGTGTGGAGATAGTGTGGTGTAGAGGTGTGAGACAGAGATAGTCTTAGTTAGAGCGTGTGTGCCAAGTGGACAACGCGACGTAGTTAGAAGCCGTTGTATAGACGCCAAGTGGGGTACAACGGTAGTAAGGTAGTAGCCGTGGTATAGACGCCAAGTGGGGTACCGCGGTAATAAGATTAGAAACTGCAGTATAGACGCTCAAGTGAGGGTACTGCAGGATTAAGTTTAGTTTTAGGCAGCTGTGGGAGACCGTTTGTTCTGAAGAAGCCCAATTAGTATTAGTCAGGTGTGGGAGACCGTTTGTTCTGAAAAAGCCCAACTAGTCGTAATCAGGTTGTGGGAGACCGTCAGTTAGAACATCCCAGCTAGTCATCGCATCATTCGAGGAAAAAAGGGTCGTTTGTAAATATCGTTATTTCGCAGTAAATTCTCCGCGTCGCTAGATAATAAGTTGTTAGTTTATAAGAGAGCTGATTTGTCAGCAAAATTGTTAAATTTTGTTGAATAAAAACCGGTTATTTGTTAATAAAAATATATTTATTTCAGTCCACCTTCTCTCTCTCTCTCCCTGTAGAATAAGAAGCTCAGCTCTGGCATCCGGTTCCAGGAACCGAGAAAATAATCCTGGTGGAGCCCTATTTAACCATGAGATCAATTGTTGCTATTTTGTCGTTTATCAAATTTAAATAATGGGGCCAATCGTACGGGAAATAAACCACCCGTTACAAGATAATATCGACAAAGCATATCACAATTTAATAAAATATTTCAAAAAATAAATATAAAAGCAAAGGTTATCAAAAAATTCAAAATTAGCGGGAACAAATTTAAATGAGCATACAGAGACATCTGAAAAAAATGACAATAGCAAAAAAAGAATTAGCCACAATGACATATGTACAGTGAATACTAACCACAAAATTATGGTCATTGCTAATCCTTGAGTTAACAAAAAATGTAGCACGTTGTACACTTCTCGCAAAAATTAAGGGAACAAAAAAATTTTCGAAATTTTTTAGCGATTTTCAACAGGCTGTATTTCAGTGAAAAATGGTCGTACAGGAAATTAAAAAACAAAGCTTTTGAAGCTTGAAGACTCTAGTTTTTAGATTTTTTGGTTAAAAATTTTTCGGAGCACTGGCAGCCATGCAATCCTTGGATAAAGCACGAAGAAAAAATTTTCCAAATTTTTTACATTGTTTTTTTCGCTCTACGGGCATGGAAAAAATTTTTCGAGCTAGACCAATGCATAGGTCGCATAGCCTGATTATTCAGCTTCAATTTGATTTTTGCGGGACCCGGATACGACCATTTGTCTTCGAGTATCGAATTTTGAATGCAAAAGGATCCTTTTTCACTCAACTGCCGATATCTCTAG